GTGGCTTAAAAACTTAATAGCAATTTCCTTCTCCGCAAGTAAAACCCTCAGAAGAAGGATGCTGTTTCTAGATTAATTGTTGTCGTCACAATAGTACATGTTATAGCCCATCCGGGTGTCCATTCTGTGGACCAAACAGGCTATGAGGCTTCACGGGGAACTACATTACGTATCTTCACCTAATCCCGTATTTCTAATCCCTTGGGTTAGGCAACGAAAGACATTTCCTGACCAACGTGTAACTAGAGTTCACTTCCAGGATTTAGAATGTCTGTGAGGAAAGGGATGAATAATTTGTACCAATTATTAAATTAATAGAGCCAGGGAGTTCTTTTAGCAACAATCTAACACCATGGCTTGGAATGTGGAGACTATAAAACAAAAGATCATCTTAGCTATAGTACTAGGGTACAAAACAAGATAAGATGTTCTTTTTCAAAAAGAACACATTTCTGGAAAAAAAAAAATAGACAATTCCTTCTCAGGCTGACCTGCGGCAGAACTGTCAAATGAGTGGAGCTGGAGTGTGTCCTCCAATTGTCTTCTGCCCCATAGGTCCACCCTGCACCACTCTGCGAGGCACATCACATGAGAACCTGCCCTCTTGAATTACCCTTATCCCCCCATCAACCCTTATCTGCCATATATCCTTCTTTGTTCTCTATTTTTTAAGGTTGCATCTAGTTTCTGATAAACTCCATCAGAGGTCAGCAAACTGATTCCCCCACCCCCATCCCGCCCGGTCAAATCTGGCCTGTTATCTGTTTTTGAAAATAAAGTTGTATTGGAACAGAGTCATGCCCATTCGTTTAAATAATGTTGGTGGTTGCCACAGAGACTGTATAACCAACCTGCAGCCTAAAGCATTTGCTTCCTGGTGTTTTATAGAACAAGTCTGTCCCTGGACAAAAGGCGATAATAACCATCCCCTGCAAACCACTGCCAGAGGTGGCTTTTGGATATGTAATACCTTTTGTTTTTAGAAACAAAAATGCTATTGGATAGTAGAATTTCTGTCACCATGAGGAGCTTGTGGGAAAAAGGTTTTAGAGAAGTTGGGTCTCTTGCTTCACCCCAAAGTACACCTGCCTCGCCAGCCCGTAGCACCGGTACTGTCAATATTAAAAATCAACCCTACGGGTGGGTGGCTTTTTATGAGATTAGATGGAATAATTTAGATCTGTGGAACTTTCTGTGGATTTTCACCAAGTAGAAGAGGTACTTTTAGCCACTGTCTTATCCAAGGGGCATCAGGGATAAATGGAATTAAGGGGATATGGAGTTTATGTAGAAAGAAACACTTTTGTGATGATTGACACAGTACCTGCTACCTGATTTGTCACATCTCTGTCCTGGAGAAAAGCCTATACCTGATCCGCTTTGGGGAGCCTGTCGGTGTCCAGGGCCTGCTTCCAGTTGGAGCCTTCCGAGTCAGGCGTCTGGATGTTTATGAAGGGCACGCCCAGATCCCTCTTCCCTTCGTGGTCCTCCTCCCTGTCCCCCTCTCCTCCATCGCTCTGCTCCTCCAGTGCCCGGAGTTTCTCCAGACGCTCCTTCTCAGCCTTCTCCCGCTCCAGGCGCTCCTTTTCAGCTCGCTCCTTCTCTGCACGTTCCCTCTCGCGGTCCTTGCGGCCTCGGCGTCCACCCGATGGGGCCTGGCGCTGGTCATCGGGCTCGTGGGGCAGGTCCTCGGCCCCAGCAGGAGGCACCTGAACTCCCTGCTTCCGGTCCCAGTATGTGAGGATGTTCTGGATATCCTTCCAAGTCAACTCATAGGTCTTAAACTTCTGGGCCAGAGTCTGGTCAGTGTCCTTCGAGAGGTCCCCTTCACTGTCCTCTTGCTCCTGGACAACAGTAAACCCAAAAATGTTATCTGCCAGCTGGGTCTTTCTCTTCTTGCTTAGTTCCTCCTTCTCATCTGTTACCTGGTCCTTAACGGAGGAGATTTTTCTTTCTACTGTGTCTGTCTTGACATCTAGTTTGGACAAAATAGAAATCTAGGAGGCAAAACACATAAAATATGCTTACTGGGAGAGCAAATCACATAAAAAAGAGCAAGAGGATGTTTTGTTTTATAAGAAGGCCTCACAGGATTCCAGGCACCTCTTGGACACACTAGGGGTGTAGCTAAAAATCACCCTGGGGGCCTTTATCAAAATATCCGTTCTGTGGTCCTTCCTTGTTACAGATATGGCTGGGGCCTGACAGGGTACACTGTGACAAAAGTGCATGGTGACTTGACGTGCATTTCTGGTTGAGAAGGGCTGTTCTGAAGGATGAACAGGGAAAGGTCACCAAAAATGGCCTTCTGCAGCTGCTTTCAGGTGCCGTGGGAGAGGCCACAGAATGCTGTGGTCACTGTCTCGCTCACCCACTGGGACCCGTCTGCACCTTGTCTGGGAGTCTGGCTTTAGCTGCACCCTCAGAACTCAACGTGCTGAAACAGCCGCCATGCACACCAGCCAGCTACACCCTGGGCCATGATGGCCCCCTGGAGCGCTGTTCTGGCCACTCTGCCTCCCCGCCCCCATCACAGTGGGTCGATGTGACCGCTAAGCCTGGCAGGCTGATGCCCTGTTGGCACTTCTCTGCAAGTACAAGCTTATGCCGAGAGTTTTCCTTGACTGTTGTCTTGTCAAGGATAAACTCTTGGTTGAGCATAGGGGTTCACTGACTTTGTAGCTTGCTGGAGGCACATCGGAACTACTAGTCTATTTAGCACCATCCAGGGGACTGCAGGGGGCAGTGGAAAAAGCAAGGACTGTGGTCAGACATAACTGAGTCAGATCCTGGAACTGCAACTTTGTCTCTCTCAGCCTCAGATGGGGTTCATGCCTCTGAACCTCGCAGGGAGGGCGGGATGCGAAAATGACAGCATTACAGGAAGCGTAAGCACAGCACTTAGCAGACAACCAGATGTGGGTCCCTTTCCCTCCTCCTGCTCCACCATAAAAGCCAAATAGGAACATTCAGTCCATCTGCTGGAGGGGCGGGCAATGTGCTGGACTGATCAGCCGGTTACAATGGCTGATCCCTCTGCTTCCACCTTTTGGTAAGGAGCAAGTGAGGATTGCTACCTGCCGGCTTGATGTCTGTGGTTTCTTCAGGGACGGTTCCTCCTTTACTGGTCCTTGCTTTGCTTTCCTGGTCTTTCTCTTTTGCTCATCTTCTTCCTTTTGCCGCTCCAGCTCCTGCTGTAGCTTCTTTTCATGCAGCTCCTTTGCCAATCTCTCCATCTCCCTTCATTAAACCAGGCAGAGAAAACTGAGTTCAGAGGCCTCCTGACGGAGTCCTTCCCTGCCTGGGATTGCCTGGATGGGGGGACGTGGGGCAGGGCTTTCTCAAGCATAAAAATAAAAATAAAAGAAAGCTGGGAAACTAGAGAGGAAAGAAAGCATGAAGAGAGGAGGGAGGGCGGGAAGGAAGACAAGAAAGGAGGAAAAGATGGCTTATCTATCTTTCAGCAAAAATGATTACCTGAAACTCAACTAAAAGGAATTCTCAATTAGTCTGTATTTCTATTCCAACCTCCTTTCGTAGGAGAGCAAGGCAAGGGCGGAAAGTAAGCCTGATGTTAGAGCTTTTTTAGAGCATCTTTCAAAGATTATGCTGATTCCACTACAGATAAGGCCCAGCTTCCTACACTGTCTTTTGCTGTTCAGACAAGAAATGGTGTTTTAAATAGCAGTCTCTGTTGGATCTGAGAGTCACATTCCTCTCCTCCTCTCTTTCCCTTCCTGCTATGGATTCAGCTGTCCCTGTCCTGCTGCTAATGGCAGAGAGGGCACCAAGGCTGG